TGCAAATATCATGCATGTACACCACACACACACACACACACACACACACGAAAAATATATGCAGATAATTTATGGAAAATACAGTCTTTGGTTCCATCATAAACTATTAAGCTGAATAACAAAAGGGCAGAGAACGTAAATAATCGTCAATTGGAGACTTCAAAGAAATAGGGGTTCTCTGTCCCTTTCTGAATATCCACATATCTGTTTCCCATGCTTATGTTCCAAAGTAAATTTGGCAGATAGGTTGGTCGTTTTCACTGTTTTCCCCTAAGTGCTTGATGCTGAGCTGGGCCTCTTTGAATTAAGCTCACTCAGCCTTGGGTCTTTGGGAGTTGAAAGCGATCCTTTAACCTTTGAAGAGATAGCTAAGAAACTGGAATCACCTGGAATTACTGATGCAACTGAATTATGTTATCTAAAATCAGGAAGTGAGAACAGAAGATTGAAGTGCGTTTTCACAGCAGCTAATGAGGCATCTAATGATTCAAATGTTGCTCTGAGACTTACCTCATTAAGGCAGCATCTTGCTTTCATAAATGTCCTAGGGTAGCTGGACAATTATATATACTCATTTAATTGAAAGTAGTAATAAAGATCACCAACCAAAATCAAATATTCAAGAACGTCTCTTAGTGATGATGTCTTCTAAGTGTGCAAATAAATTTCTTATGAATACATGAGTGAGGTGGACTATGCCTTTTCTTCTTACAAATCCGATTTTTGAATAATCTGAAAGCAGGTTCTGCCATCAAATTAAATGCACCACTAACTACACTTTCATCAAGGGATTTATTACCAGCTATCTTATTTGGTGTAGTCATATTAAACATAACACTGCAGCTTCCAGCTGAATACTTGTAAGTTAGTTATTTAATGGGCATTCTTAGGTTTTTAATTGTCCCTGCTATTTTTGGCCCCCAAGTAAGCACAGGACAGGGCACAAATTTGAAAGAGTATGAATTAAGGGGAGGGGAATCTGGGTGCTTTCTAGATACCTGAGAAGCTTGTATACTTGAACTTTCAAACAGCTGCTGGAATGTCTCTATTCAAATTGAACTGTGAGAGCTTGTTCCCCAGCAGTGAGTGTTCAGTAGTCCGAATCTTGGTATGCCAAACTCTGTAGTTCTGATAGGGTTACACCCAATGAGTACTTGGTGAGTCAATGAATTGGATAGTCAATCTGTGAGCTGATATTACTCCTCCTCTTTTATTATTATTATTATTTTTTTGACAGGGTCTCCCTAGTCCCAGCCCACATGGTCCACTTTGTGGACCAGGCTGGCCTCATCTCACAGAGATCCACCTGCCTCTGCCTCCCCAGGGCTGGGATTAAAGGTGGGCCACCACGCTGGGCATTCGCTTCCCCATTCTATTCCTTCTTCTTTTCTTCCTTATTTTTAAAGACAGTGTAGACATCTAGTTTGAGATAAGGGACTACAAGTCGAATTAGTTATCTGTGACACTAGATGAAACCTGGGGGTGTGTGTGGGGATTAAGCACAGTATCTGCGAGTGAATACAAATATGTAATTAGACCTAGAAGCCATAGGGAATGAGAAGTAAGTAGGTTTTACAAACTCTCCAAACTGCCTGGTAAATGTGTATTAATAGAATTGTCCCTAGAGTGATGGTTTTTATCAGCCACTGTCTCTGTTAGTAGAAAGCCCTTTTCCCGTTACTTTTCTATTTTAAATCTATCCCCTGCCCGGGCTGATTGAACCTTTCTCAAATGTGCCAGGCAGAGGCTCTCACCTGCCTCTCAGCTTGCAAATAATAACGTCTTCACATTTTTATGGCCTTTTCCAAAATAGGGACCTTTCATTTATACTTCACTCTCCACAGAAAGAAATTGATTAACGTCACAGAACCGTGTTTCACCAGAGCCCTTTTGAAACGAAAAGCAGCTTTTTTTTTTTTTTTTTAATGTGGTAAGAGAACAGATTGTCTAAGATTTCCTTATGCTCCAAGGACTCGGGGGCAAAGAACTATTTTATCATTACATGTTATTGAATCCTAAGGAATGATCAGGTTTTGTTTCTTGCCTTTTGCTTGTGTTTTTCCCTAGAGCATCCCAGGCACAGTATCCCTGGTGCTTGGCAACCACAGTGCTCTCTCTGGGACCCTTTAGCATTGCTTCCTCCTGGTTTTTCATATTTCCCATCTCCCTGGCTTTTTGCCTTAGGACATTTTCTGTACCTTGCTTTCTACTTCTTATATATATTTTTAATTTTAGTTTTACCAATCATACCTTTTTTCATAACTTTTACTGAAGTTGTCCTTTGACATTTTCATGCATGTATAAAGTACATTCTGATTACTGTCACCCTCCACCCCCTGTAACCTCTTCCTACCCCCCCCCATCTTCCCCTACAAGTCCTTTTCCCACCTTTATGACCTGTTTTTGCTTGATTTTGGAGACCCATGGAGTTTAACCAATATCTTCTGTGTGAACATAGGTTTGGAACCATCCGCTGGAGACCGGCAGGCTCCTCAGTGGGTACGCAACTGAAGCCAGGGGCTTTTGCTCCCTAGAACCCATCAGTAGCCTGTTCAGCAGGGAGGGGAGAGGCCGGGTCAGGCCTTCCCCAGTCCTTGACTGATTGGTGATAGGCTTTCCTTGTGTAAGGCCAAATGCAGTCACACTCCTAATTTCCAATAGTACACTTGCCTATTTTTGCAGTAATTCTTTTTTGTTTGTTTTGTTTTCCAAAGCCCTTTTCATTGGTTTCCCACCAGCCCTTGTTTGTTCCCTTGACTTTTCTTGTCCATTCAAATCCTGAAGGATTTTTCAACCATCAAGTACAGATCCTGTTTTGTAGTTTATAGGTGCAGCATGATTTTGTGTCTCTTTTTTTAAAAAAAATTATTTAAAAAAATTTTATGTGTTTGAGTGTATTGCCTGCATGTATGTAAGTGTACCCATGTCATGCAATGCTCATGGAGGTCAGAAGAGGGCGTCTGATCCCCTGAAACTGAAATTATGAATGGTTGTTAGCCACCATGTGGGTACTGGGAATGGAACCTGGGTCCTTTGCAAAAGCATCCAGTGCTTTTAACTGCTAAGCCATCTCTCCAGCCCCATGTTTTTGCATCTCTTTAAGAATTACCATCATTGGGTAAACCTGTTTCTGTAGTCTCCCATGAGTTTCTCTGCTACCAGGTTCAGCCCCTTGCAGCCTTCCAAGACATCATAACCAGGTGGACTATTCCTTGTGTACCCCTCTCTGATGTTTATGGGGAAAAAACCAAGAGTCTTGTTTGCTATGGAAAGTCTTTGGCAGCTGATGTCAGTCCACAGTTCTGATTCTCCATCTCAGCACATGCTGAAGCTACATACACCCCTCCATTAGCCCCACCCTCTCCTCCCTCCTGTTTCTGTGTCAGTGCACATCTGATTCATATTCACTGCCTAAGTAGCCCACTGTCTACCTTCTTAGGCAATTCCTGGGGACCTTTCCTCCTCCACTTATTCTAACACCTGTTGCCTACTAACCTTGCAGCATGTTTTATGTACTAAAAGGTAAAGGCTGAGATTTTCAGATTTGTGCTCTCGTTTGCTGCTCTTCATCCCTTCAAACGTTCTTCTCTATCCTCTGTTCTTGGAGGTATCCAGATGAGACAGAGGAGCAGTGTTCCAACCTCAAGAAGCTCACCATCAGCTGGGGAGACAGGCACATAAATGAGGGGGGCACGGCATGAAGAGGGACAGAAAACACAGAGGAAGACACTCCCTCTATCTGGGAGGAGGGAGTCTGGGAAGACAAAATATTTTTACCAGGCTGCTTAGCAGAAAAGAAACAAGCAAGAGACACTGGTGAAATGAGCCAACCATGGAGCTTTGTTTTAAGCTCCAGGACAGTGTTGGTGGTGTCCAGAGTCACACTTAAGAAAGCCCCTGACTTCAAAGTGATAAAGTAGACCATGACATAGTCTAACCAGAGACTGCTGTCCAAGCCTGGGCTCTTCTCAATTGTGAAGCTGCTGCCAGCTGGACACCACAGTGTATGCTTTTCAGCTGTGGCTGACGGCAGGTCCCAACTAGTCCCTAATGGCAGGTGGCATTCAGATGATGCTGGTTGAACTTGTAACTCAAGGGAGCTGAGATTCCCTTTTGGGGGTTCTTAGTCTTAATAAAGGAATTTAGAAATGGGCTCAACAGGAACCTTGTGGGCAGTTTTATTAGACTTTAGAGAAAAGCAACAGGGCAGGCAAGCTGTCCATTTAGGCAGCTCAGAGGAAGGGAGATGAAGACAGACGAAGAGAGAAAGTCATGCTGTTTGCAATGGAAGTGGATGAGCGTCCACGTGGCGAAAGGAGAGGCGGCTTCAGAGAAAGAGTGAGAAAGCACAGAGAGCCAGGAAAAGCATGCTTGGCCTTTGGCTAGTACCTGAAAAAAAGGGATTAAAAAGTAAAAGAAAAATTATGCTTTCCTGAGACCTGACTCAGGAAGGTGGGCAGACCAGCCCCTTAGCGCTCTTGGCAAGCAGAGCCAAGAAGAAAAATACACACTATCTCATTAAGTAGATGATAATACCTCAATCTCCTTTAGGCTAGGGATAGAGAGAGAACTTAGAACAAAGACCAGATACCTTCACATTTTCTTAGTAATTTGAATTTCCAAGGAATGACAAAGCCAAAGTTCCCTGTCCTACCTTTCAGTGAAGGGGTGTGGGGGGCGAGGTCCAAAACACCTGTAGCCCTAGGCTTTGGTGGCAAGCTTTTGAAGCCACAGTATTTTTCTGAGCTGTGCTCTAAATCAGTAGCTAGAGCTAGAATAAAAGAGAAGATGAGAGAGATGGAATGATGAATCAAGGCTCGGTGAGCTACACTACAAGCTTTTATGTGTGTAGCCTTACTGAAGTGACTTCTGTTTCTCTGCAGACAAGGGAGAAGCCAGAGGCTGCAGAGCTGGAAGGGGCGGTCTGGAAAGGCTGGCTCCCAAGCGCCAGGCTCTGCTTAGCTCCCCCGGTGGCTGGGATATAGTTTAATTGGGAAGAACACACTGAAAAGTACCCATCCTAAATAAGCACACAGTGAATTCCCACCAGAAATGTGAGCGTCTTTGTTTTTATCTGCAGAGGGAGAAAGGTCAGGATCCTCCAGAAGGGCTTTGCCCAGCCCCCACTCCAGCCTTTAATTGAGGTAACGTTTGTTCTCACTTCCTGAAAGGCACAGCTGCGCTTCCTGCCGGTGTAGTCTCCCCTACTTCCTCCGGCGTCTCGGAATCCCGTTGCTCTGTCCTCTGCGTGGGAAACGCAGGTACCATTTGTTCCTGAGGGAACAAAAGTCCACTCTGGAGGCTGCTGGGAGGGACACAGTGTTGGAGGCAAACTTTGCCAGCAATTGCAACTCTCCTTCGTGTGTTTATAATGGAGATTTAGTTTGGGTACGGGAGACCGGGAGCAAAAGTGCATTTGTGAGCCGTGTATCTGCTTCTCAGCAGAGATGAGTGAGTTACTTCTGCAGAGGAAGCAAAGCACCGACGGGGTTTGCCACAAACGTCCCTGGGACCTCCCCCGGGGCATTGCATCAGAGGAAAAACCCACGTAATGCCGGACAGCTAACCCTGGAAGCCTTGTGACTTGGCTTCCGGTTGCCTGTCAGTAGTGAGGGACAGTGACACAGCTCCACGCTGGTAGGTTCAAGCGCCTGAAGCGTTCCTCCCATCTTTAGGGACCTCACTGCAGGCCAAACAGGAATTCGTGGCTTCAAGTCAGAAAAATTTTAGGACGAGCTAATACGAAGAAGAGATGAAATTTTTTTTATTAAGGATACATTTAAAAAATATTATTATTTAAATTTCTGTTGTTTGTGTTTGTGCAGCAGCAGAATCTAATCCCCTGGAGCTGGACTTACAGGTAGATGTGCGTCCTGGGTACAGACTCATTAAGGCCGAGTTGCAATTATCTTAGAATAATACCGTTTTGGTGGCTCTCACGTTACATCTTAAAAGATCACTAAGACTCTAAGAAACCTTTTCTTGGGCTGGAGAGATGGCTCAGTAGTTAGGAGCACACACTGTTCTTGCAGAGGACCGAGTTCAGTAGTTAGCACTCACATCAAATGGCCCACACCCCGTAACTCACAGTGCATGCCCCTTCCCCAACTTATAAGATTAATTTTTTTTTAAAAGAAACCTTTTTTTCCTCACTTTCCTCTTATGAGACTGATTATAGGCATCTCTAGAGGTGGATTGGCTGGAATTACAGACTAGTAAGGTAAAAACGAGGCCCATTATTGTTGAGCGAGCGCTTTAGCACACGCCCTGTCCCTTAAGTGGAGTTCCTAGTGAGATTCCTAGGAAAATGCAGGTTTACGGAGGGGAAAGGGAAAAGGCTCTACGCAGTTCTCGGTGCTTTGCTGGGGACTGGCTTCAGCAGACTCCTGACTCTTTTCCCTTCTCCTGTCACTATGATTTCCTGTCTTTCTCTCCTGCCATCTGGAGCTCTGTGCAAGTGGCATACCTTCCCTCAGGCCAAGCTTCACTGTCCAGAAGTCAGGCAGTTCTGGTGAAGAATTTGAACTTCGGATAGACCTGAGTGTGTGTCCTGGGCCTGGCACTCCGTAGCTATGGGACTTGGGGAATGAATTTCACTTTGGGGAGCGTCGATTTTTATCACAAATTTAGGGCTAGTAGGGGCTACCCCCTTTGGGTTCCACAAAGATGAAATGAAATGCTATGCCGAGCATCCTGCAATCACGCTGCCCCCTAGAGGCAAGTTGATCCTGGTGCTGGAAGAACTCTACTTCGACTACCTGTTCCTCTTGGATTACCAAGTGCCTCTTTGCCTTTTAGACTGTTAGGGAAGCAGCCAGTGTTAGGCACCTATGGTATTAGCCACCATAGGTCGAGGCAGGGACTTTTGACCATGGTTAAAGAAAAATGAAAAATCTAGCCCTCTATTTTACAGATGTTGTTCTTTCCATCCATGTGCCGTTAATTTTGGGGTTATGTTCTAGAAATTGGGATAAGAACAGTGTATACAGGAGAGGAAGAAACCACAGAGTTTGGGCTGCACAGAAAAAACTGATGGAATTCACAGTTGGGTGGCACGGTAGCACGTAGGCTGTGTATGTGTGTGAGAACTTTTTGACAATATTGACTGGATTTTTATTACGTTATCAACACTCTCCCCTTCCCATCTTATTTGTAAACGTGCTTAGAAGCTAGTATATCCTGGGCATACCCAGTAAAGAAAACAAACGTTAATTATGAATTACAAAGTGAATCTAGTCTACTGATACTGTTTAGAATAACCAAAATAAAAGTGTGTGCGTGCATATATATGTGTACAAATATGCAGAGGAAGATGCCAATTATTAATTCTTTGTCTCCATTGCAACTGGAGATTTGGCATCCATATTTTTCAGAACAGAAATAGTTGGAGATGATGTGTTATTTTCTGCTGCTTGTTACATGTGATCATAGTTTAAAATCTATGCAGTGTAAACCCCTCAAAGGGATAGGCAAGATCTTTGTGATCCAGAATTTCAGCTTATGGTATTCAGTAAAAGATAATCTATCTTAAAAGAATTCTTTAGTTGGAGGCTTGGGAAATAGTTCAGTTGATAAGGACCTAAGTTCACCTCTCAAAATCTGCATAACAAAGGTTGATTTAGTGACCTAGGCTTGTAATTTCAATGTGGTAGAATTGGAGACAAGTGAATGGCTGGGGCTCCCTGGCCAGCCAGCCTAGCTTACTCTGCAAGGCCCAGGTTGATAAGAGACCCTGACTCAAAACACACCCTCTCTCAAAAAAGATGGTGGCTTGCAGCTGAGGTTGAGCTCTGGTCTCCACATACAACATACATACGTACATATACACACACACACCCAAATACACAGACACACAAACACACACACACACACACACACACAGAGATAGAGATAGAGATAGATAGAGAGAGAGAGAGAGAGAGAGATTTTAGAGAAGTAGTACAGATTCTATTCCAGCTGTTAGAAATGGGCTTTAATCCAGGAAAGTTTCAATGGAGCCTATAAGGAAGAAACCCATGTTAGTCAGATTATTTTATTTCTTCCCACTACGATTTGAACATGGAATGATTAAGTAATATCTGTTAAACCTTCTAGAACAAACTTGAGGAACATTATCTTGGTCTTAGCATTCAGTTTAAAAATGAAAGGCAAAGACCAAAGAAATGGCTTGCCCTAGTTTGCTTATATTTGGATTCCTGTGCTACAAATCAAATATGATTATCTTGTACTTGAATGGAGATCCTAAGGAAAGGGAGTTCTCTGATGGACTTTACCTGAGGGCTTTTGTTAACTTGCTTTCTGATCTTTTCTACAGTTTGTATTTCAAAGAATACTCTTTCCAGACTGGGTACTTAATAGTATTGCATATTGTGTAACTGCATAGCTCTATTGTAATTATAATTTTGTTTCTTTTCAACCCATAAGCTTTCCCTATTCCCTCTAAAGCCTGCTTTTCTTTCCTTCCTGCCCCCAGGACTCTACACTTAGAGAAATGCCACTGTCCTTTGTTCCTCTTCTTGAACAAACCCCAGGGAACATCTCTGGGGGCCTGCTTTTTACTCCCAAAATATATGCAAATTTCTGCGTACGGTAACATTTTCTCACATTTTCCTCGGAAGCCTAAAGTCTTCTGTATAATCTGTTCCTGTTAAAGAAAATTAATTGATATTAATTAATCTTTTTCCCCTGGATGACTTTTTTTTTTCTTGATCTCAGTGTTGGTAATACATCATTCAGTGTTCTTAATAATAGCTTGTGGTTGTGCGACTTATTCACTGGAGTTATTAAGTGCCCAAAGTGGTTCTTATCAGGATGTGCCATACCGAGGAAAAATTGTAGGTGTTGCTTGCCAGTCTTTGCAAGCTACAGCGGCCACTAAGGGCTCCAAGATCTTTGGTTAAAGTAATTGTGAATTCACCATGGTTCAGTCCAACAAATATTTGTCTACTCTGTTAAAACGTGTGCTAAGATCTTGAGATTTTAAATATATACATCTCTCTCTCTCTCTCTCTCTCTCTCTCTATATGTATATATATATATTTATTCTTATGTGTGTGAGTATATTGCCTGCATGTATGTAAGTGTACCCTAGTTGTGAAATGTCTGTGGAAGTCAGAAGAGGTTGTCAGATCCCCTGGAACTGGAGTTATGAACAGTTGTTAGCTGCCATGTGGGTGCTGGAAACCAAACCAGGGACTTCTGCAAAAGCAGGCAGCCAGTGCTCTTAACCACTTAATCCACTGAACCATCTCTTCAGCCCCAGTTGAGATTTTTTTTAAGAGTAGGTGTTAACCTCTGGCCTTAAAGAGCTGTGAGTGTGGTTAAGGGAGAATGGCCTCTGTGTGAAGACTGAACTGGGTAGGTAAGTGCTGTGTTAGGAGGTATTGAGCGTTAGGTATAGCACTGTAATAAACGATGGGAAAAGATTTTACAAAGGAGCAGCACATCCATAGCATCCCCAAGGCCAGCCAGGAGCTTTTGATCAGCAATCCTGATAACTACTGGAATTGTCATAGTTAGGCTTGGTTTTGCAGCCCCTCCTGGTCTCTCCTCCACCAGCACTCTGCTTCTTATCTTAGATGTTCTGGTTATAGCAGACTTGAAACTGTGTTTCTGATGAGAAATTCATTATTTTACTCTAGATTATAAACGTTGTAGTGAATTCTCTAAGGTGTCCATCTCATTGTTATGATTATCCTTGAAATCTCTTTGGGATTAGTGTATTTTTTTTCTAATCATTATTTATTTAAAAAACTTTTAATAACTACATGATTAAAAGAAGCATTTCATAATGCATTTTAGGCCCATCTTCATGTTGAGCAATTCCCATATTTTTATTTTGACTTGTTTCCCATCTAGCCCTCACAGTGGCCCCATGCAGATGGTTTCCCCAAACTTACCTGCCCATTGAGATCACCTGAAGAATTTCACAAACCCCTGATGCCTGTGTCTCACCCTATGACTATGATTTAATTGATGAGAAGAACAGAATAGGCTTAGAGATTCTCAAAACCCCCTTAGGCAACAATGGAAGTAAAAAAGTTCTAAACTCAATTGAGGTGATAGCGCCACACCTGGGTAACTAGATTAAAATCCCTTGAAATTGTACCCCTTAGCAACCTGGATGGTATGTGAATTATGTCTCAATAAAAGTGTTACATTTTTAAAACATTCACACTGGGCCTTGTGGTGCCTGTGTGTAATCCCAGCATCCAGGAGGCTGGGGCAACAGGAACAAAAGGTCTAGGCCAGTTCAGGTTAC